TTATGCTAAATTGGATCTATTGTTTTTATTCAAAATTTAACAGTTGGGAACCCCTACTCTATTAGGCCTTGGAGAGAACCCTGGTGTATTTATGGTCAAAATAAGTCATATTTTAATAATTCAGTATACAATACTGTATTTGCTCCATTAGTAGTGCATGTACTTTCTTAAATGACAGAGGTGTGTCTATGGTCAAAATAAGTTATATTTTAATGATTCAGTATACAATACTGTATTTGCTCTATTAGTAGTACATGTACTTACGTTATATTACAGGATCGGCCTGTAATATGTAAGCAAGGTTGGGTTATCGGAAACTGGCCTAACTTAAAATGTAAGGTTTGAACTTGAGGGCACCCCATTTCAAGGTCAATATTTCTAAACAAGTACCTCTAACTGATTGAAATTGTGAAGCAAAAAATCGAAACAGATCATTGAGTTTGTGAATTGCCTCGATGAACTTCAAGCCCTGTAGTTGGCAGCCATTTTACCCTTGATAATGATTAGTCACTAGTCCAGGATACCATCTGAAGGTGAATATTAAAAAGCACTCCTTAATCAGCCACCATCAGAGACATTTTTATTTTACATTCATAAATATTCATAAAAATAAACCGTGAACTACATTTATGGGCAGTTTAAAATACTGTTACCAACCACCAAAATAAAAAACCTTAAAAAAAAGGAATGTTTCTATCAAGACATATTTTTACTGTGACTCATTAATATGAGAGACGATTGTTTTTGTTAATTTTTAATTACCTAATACCAGTTCTACTTCAAAGTTAAAGTCATCAGTTATCTATTTATATAAACTATTAAATAACAGGCATTTTTAGGGAAAAAATTTATATATTTTTTTTTTAAATCACATGTGTGACGCGATTTTTTAAATACAACCTACCAGCCATGTGTTGTTTTTTGCTTTACTTTCCACATGTTTATCGGATTGGAGCCAAAATAAGATATTGAAATTATGGCGGCCTAACAGGGAGTGAGTCAGGCATTTTAAAAACAAGTGTTTTACAACTTCATCAATATCAAGTGATGCTTCAAGTGCCAGTGGGATGGGCCCGAATAATTATTTTAATGACCACTCCATAGGAATGTGGGATGGCACACAAATATTTTTTTAATCGCTCCAACTCGTACATCGTGACTGTGGATTGGGAGAAATTAGACACCATGATTTAGTACTACGTTCTTTATCACATCGAGAGAGCGTGTACCAAGGGAAAGTACGCACGAGTATTCGTTACACGTCTCTGTCAATGAGCTTGAAACAATGCATTGTTTGAACCCGACCTATTGATAAATTGATATCTCGAGTAAACGTGTTAATAGATAAAATAAATACGGTACGGGGTGGCGGTAAAATTGAGTTGCTTAGTAGATTAGTAGAAATATCACTGCGAATGCATGCATGGGCGCGGTTCGGTTCATTCGATGACATCATTCACATGGGTCGTGTTTTGGGGTTTCCTGAAATATTTACCACTCATAGTAATTCGACGATCGAGCAGACCAATTTGCAGAATGTGCACAAAAATGTGCGATACATAAAAAAATAAGGCGATTGTACGTCACATACAAATTTGAATGGTGTTCTAATGGTAACGAATAAAATCCAGTTCCTCGACTGAACAAGATGGCGGTCATCACTGACCGGGCGACGTGCATCGGAAATATCGCTGCATGTTATTCAATTCCAGTCAAGCACAATTACTACAACTTACCTGAGGGGACTTCTCTCCACCATGAGACATTTAGGAGTCGCACATATGGCCTTACATTAGCAAAAACTACGGGAAATCCAGAACGAGAGATAGCGATATTACCCCCAAAATCCACTGCATACAAATTACGAATTAAAAATAAATTCAGGAACCGCTGTCCACGTGATATTAATCGCGTAATTTTATTGGATGCGGCTTCACGGACGTCAAATTATTTATTCATGAAAGGTCACGATGAGGTCAATTGTGAGGCATTGAGGCTCGTGCTGGGATGTCAAACTTTTTCAGACTTCCTGCAACTCGGAAGTTTTATAACATTTCCAACTTTCACTACGACTCGCCAAAACTTAAAAAGCAGCCTTACAGTCAATTTCAATGAGATAACTTCCATAAATCCGCATAAATACAAAAAAAACACTTGAATGCGTTGCGTCAGTCCTCCGGCGTTTGTTTACGTACGTGTCGTTACCTTGTATTGGTGTCTTGTTTACATTTTATTTGGCGGTTGGTATGACAATAGTAATCTAGAGATTACAATGTTTTGGTTTATTTACTACAGGTCGTTACGACACATGGGACTTTGATACCAACCATAGACTATAGTCTACTGGAGTAGTATGCACAATCGTAGCGGGAACAGGGCCAAGTCTGCTAACGATTTTCATCAACTTCTTCAAATTTTTTTTAAAGTTTATTATTTTAAAGGGTGGTGGTCGTCGCTCTGCGCACGCATGTGCGACATTTGTGTTGATAAATCTTGATTTTGAAGTATGAGGTTTGACCTGGGCGCGACTTGCACTGAATAGCACCGGTGACTACTTTGATACCTTCCAATCACCTGAAATACCTAATTAAAGTCTGGAAACGTCTCAGTTTGTACTCGTTGATCTGCGCAACAGTCAAAGTCGTCATCTTTGTTCATATGAGACCCATATATCTCACACATGCGCAGCGCGACGACTACCGCGCTTTAAAGGCTTTCATCTTCATGGAGCGCCCTGGACAGAATTGTGAAGTTAAACCAAGTAAAAATGTTAATTATAAAAAAAGTATCACCAAGTTCAGAATCTCAGCCACTATCTACTTAAATACAACTACCATTTTCTCGAAAATAAGGCTGTTGACCCCTAACTTTTTTAAAGTCAATATCTTTATATTGCCTGAAGTACAATTTATTGGTAAATGATTAAATTCTGGGTATTTGCATTCATGAGTAGGCTTCTATTTTAATACATTATTTTGTGGAAAAATTATCAAAAGCATTGTAAAGGATATTAAAGCGCGGCAGACGTCGCGCTGCGCATGTGCGATATTTGTGTTGATGAACACAATCCAATGCGCTCTTCTAATGGATCACAAGTATGAAGTTTTACCTGGGCGTGACTTGCATTAATTACCGCTCGTGACTCCCTCTATACCTTTCAATCACCTAAAACAATATCTAATTAAAGCTTCGTTACGTCTAAGTTTGTACTCGTTGATCTGCGCAACAGTCAAAGTCGCCATCTTTATTTATATGAGACCCATATATCTCGCGCATGCGTGGCGCGACAACTACCAGCCTTTAATTTCTGGCTGTGGTTATCGGTATATTTGTCTTATCTTTTTAGGAAGTTTGACGTTATTCAGGCGTTGTTATAAACTTCCGTGCATGATAATGATAATGATAATAATAATAATTTGTATCTTATCTCCGATTTGGTTTGATTTGTCATTATGTTGTGTTTGTTTTTCTAGTGACACTGAATTGGAGTTAGACTTGCTTGCAGTCTGTTGCGATTCCGATGAAAAATTCTCGAAAAATAAATATGAATTGCATCAGACTGCAAGCAAGTTTAAATTGGAGAGAACGTCTGCATTTTTCAATAGCATAAGTTGCCATGGTGATAGAGTTTAAAGTGCCTGCATGTGAAATACCTGCTACTTTCTCGCCTAAAACCATTTATTGATACATCAATAATATTAATTTTTATGTTTCTAAGCATAAAATATTTGTTTAAAGTGAAAAAATGGGTTTGAATCTCTGTCTGCGGCAACTTTATTTTTGTGTATTTTGAAACGAGGCTCTTAATTACTCGTAGCTTCTCAACATTGTGTACGTGGCCGGGCAGGTAAATCTAAAATTTCACCAACCCTGGCAGAAAGTTACAAGCTCCGGATTAAAGATTATTTTCAAATACTTCTGTTTCCGTTCCCATTCCAAGCAAGCACACCAAATCTCTTTATTTAGCAAAAGACAACACTCACAATGGTACCAATTATGTCGGTATCTTTCTTGTGTCCATTTCATTTAAAGCGGGGGGTGTCGTCACCTGCGCATGCGTCAGGTGGCCATAGCGTTGTTTACAATCAAGCGTCTACCTATGAGCATTTGCGGTTTTAGCGCGTGTTGTTATCGTCGCTTGGGGCTCAATTCCCGCGCGTGCGCAGTTGACGACCCTCCTGCTTTAATCTAGATCGCACGACTTGAATGACTCAGAATCGAGTATTGGTAGAGTCTCTTTGTATCGGCATTCGTGTCCAGTAAGTATAACGCTCATGTAACTTGTTTTGAATTTGCTTAATTTTTTATTAAAATTTTCATTTGAGGTGCTAAACATCCAGTAACACTGCAATTCTTTTGTTATTATGTAGAAAAATACAATATTTTTACTAAGTAAAATCATATTTATTAAAGATATTGTTCATACGTGAGTTGTTGAACACACTACATAGTTTGTAATTTCATTCAGCTTCTTCCAGTCATAATTCAAAACAAATAAAAGGCAAAATGTACAGAGAATATAGCAAACTATCGTTTTTTCTGTAATATTCTTGTGTAATTGGTAATTATGGAAATTATTTATGGGTGCATAGGGAAGACATTTCGTTATAAACTATTTTGTAAAAATCAGGATTTTTTCAGTTTTTGTCGTAGTGTTCCAGTACTCTTGGTGCAACAAAGGCATTCTCTCTATCTTTATAAATATTTATGAAGTGCGAGAATCTGCGTTGTGAAAGCTGCGAGGCCAAGAACAGACAAACATGAACGGAAGAAGATTGTGTCTGTGGCTTAAAGAACTCTTCCGATCTGGCAGCAAGCCAACGTATTATTGAAACAATGATGGCAACACTATGGGAACTTATTTTATTCGATGTAAATCTTTTTTTTTTTTTTTTTTTGACGGGTACGTATCAATAACAAAATACTAGTAAGTCTTTTTCAATTAATGGCGCCGGGTACCATTTTTGAGAAGTTAAGACAATATTTTACCAAAGAAACCAGTACAAAAATGCTACACTCGGTGAGTATTCTCCGCCAAATATGCAAATTTAACCCAGCGAGGTGTGATATCTGCTACCAAATACCCCGCTTGCCGTTCATGATGTCTTGTAAATAATGAAAGCATGTAAAGACGATAATTTACATTTTTCAATTCGGCTCGAACCTCTTTCAATCTGTAATTGTCATCTTCTGATACACTATATTTCATTGTTTTCAACGTCATCGAATTTTTCAAGATGGATTATCTCTTTGCTTTACAAAACGATGATAAAATGTCCTAATAATCGTTTCACCTCATCTCGTACATCATTTATTTCTGTACTAACTTTACACGACTATTCCATGGTTTTTTTTATTCTGTCAATAGACCTCGGACGTCGTTCTTCCAGGCAGAGTACTACTAGTATTCTACGATCTAACCGCAAGGAACTCTGGGAAGGAGAATGCTCGGACGTAAATGGCTGCCGAGATATCAAACAGTGTTACATGTTCACTCAGCTTCGGGAACACGTAAAATTGCTGGTTCAATATTTTTCTCATTTGTATATGTTTTCAATAATTTACATGATTTTGTATTGTTACATATGAGGGAATTTTGTTTCCAAATTGTTAGCACGCACTGGGTGTCTCTGGCGTAAAGGGACGGGAAAGGGGACGTCCCTTTATCGCGGTGCATAATCACTTCCTTCTACTTATACAGTGCCAGATGCATTATATCCGCCCATCCGTGGAGGAAACATTAAATTGGAAACATTATACCGTTATCCGTTCACATGGAGGAGATCCCGTGTTATTCGTGAAATCTCAGTAGCCTGAGGGTAAATCGAACGTAAAAACAGGACAAGCAGGTGTCACAGCGCCGTGTTGGCGTTAAAAAATCATCACAGTCCTTCTATCACAGTGCTGGATTTGACAAACGCGAAAATGTTTTCCAAAATATTTATAAATTTCGCAATTCAAACTCAAACAATTTCATTGTAGTATTTGCAACTACAACAAATCCTCAACTGTGGTCCCTAGATTTCAATTGAGTAGTCCCTTAACGTACAGTGGCGCCAGTATACACGACACGGTGTAGTGTTATTCTCGAGGGGCCGGCCGGGGGCACCAGTGTCGTTGCTAGAGTAGTAATTTCGCCGTAAGTTGATTTTTGTACGACTCATAGCAATTGACACTGTGTAGCTACGACGTCGTGTATCTGCTGCACTCCAGATTGTTTTCTATTGATTTGTCGTTGGGTGCTACGTCATGACTCTATTTCACTGTTAAAGAGCCGTGGTCGTCGTACAGCGCGTGTTCGAATTTCAAGTAAACTGCATTTAACACGCGTCGTGTACGTTGCTATGAGTCCCATGTCGTAGAGGACGCAACGACCACCGTTTTTAAAAGTTGTGTTGTCGGTAGAATGTCGCCTGAAACCTTCGATATTTTAATTGAAAAATGCAACAGTTACATAATTCACAAACAACCGAACTGGGTTTCATGTGGAAAAGCACAGATATAAGAAATAAAGTGTATATACCAATAAACGCTTACTCATAAATGAAAATACACAAAATGTATTCATTTTGCAATAAATTGTATTCTAAACGCAACAAATACATTCCCTTTATTTTTTATAAATATTTACAAATTTCAAACGCAGTTGAATCCAACCAGCCAATCAACGTAGTGCGCAATGACTTCATTTGAAAAAAAAAAAAAACGTTCCGATGCTTTTCAGTCGGCCAATAGAAATTTCTCGTTTCAGTATGGATCATGAAATTAATAAACATATATAAAGGTGAAATGAATGCTCTTGTTGAGCTAAAAGTACTCCTGACTGGGCAATTTAAGGATATTATCTTTAAAGCGCGGTAGTCGTCGCGCTGCGCATGTGCGACATTAGTGTTGATAAACATTGATTTTCCCACTATCCAATGCGCTCTTCAAATGGA